GTCGTGCTTCATAGGACCTAACTTCACAGGACCAGAAAACTCTGACACTCCCGTATGCCCAGGCTTAGAGGGAAACTGAATTGTGGTGAATATAGTAATGTCTATTATACCTTGCTACCTGCAGTGCATGCTTATATTTTCTATTCTATTCCATTCCATTTAAAAAAAATCTTTTAAGTTGGTTATTTATTTATTTATTTATTTATTTTTGAGATGGAGTCTTGCTTTGTCACCCAGGCTGGAGTGCAGTGGCACGATCTCAGCTCACTGTAACCTCTGCCTCCCTGATTCAAGGGATTCTTCTGTCTCAGCCTCCCGAGTAGCTGGGACTATAGGTGCGTATCACCACTCCAGGCTAATTTTTGTATTTTTAGTAGAGACAGGGTTTCACAATGTAGGCTGGACTGGTCTTGAACTCCTGACCTCAAGTGATCTGCCCACCTCGGCCTCCCAGATTGCTGGGATTACAGCTGTGAGCCACCACACCCAGCCATAAGTTGGTTTTATTGTTAACTGGTATGTGACCCCCGTTTGGAAAACATTACTCTACAGACCCTCTTCTGCCCAGGCCTCCTGGACCATATGACATACCTGATGTGTGACACACATAGGCACAGATGATTGGCCCAGGTGTGGAACATGTGACCAATGCTGACCAATCAAATTTCTCTCCTGGGAGTTTGGAAGTGGGCCATTCAGCCAGTTAACAGTGGAAAGCTGAGTGAGAAGCAGAGTGGAAACAGTGTCAGAGTGGCAGTCACATCCAAGCCGAAAGGATGGAGGAGCAGAAAAGCCCTGAGTAAGCAGGGAGGGCTGGTCCACAGAGGCAATGGGGCAGCCTCCCAGAAGGCAGTGCAACGGGGGGAGAGGTGCAGAGAGCGCGACTGCCTGAGATTCAGATGGCTTCCCAGGACCTGGTGCCAGCCCCCGTGCATCCTGCCTGCTTCCCGTGAGAGTTTTGCCTTCTTATAACACAGCCTCCCCTTTTTCTTGAGCTACTTTGGGCGGCGGGGTCGGGTGCGGTGGGGGCTGGTTCTGTTCCTTGTCTCCACTGAGCCTTAATTAGCTGGAACACTGCTGGTATCTCTCTTATGGGCACCCAGCTGTGGCTCTGCGAATCAGGCCCTGGGGCATAGATGGGGCTGGGGGTGAGGCAGACCCTGCCTCCAGCATCCTGGAAATTTGGCTTTGACCAATCTTGGACGTGTGCGCTTGCTCTTCAGAGTGGACAGGCAGAGCCATCTGTGTGACGCTGCATAGGTGGGGGTCCCGGGAAACGAAACATCCCCACAGGAGCCTCTTTTCTGATCGTGTTAAGGTCAGGAAGCCAGAGGAGTTTTATCACAGAGGGCTTGGCAGTGTGATGGAGTGGAAGGACATGGGCTCTGGAGACAGGCAGACCACACTTCACCTCAGTGAGCCTCAATGTCCTCATCTCTGAAATGGGATTGCCATAAGGATTGGCAGTGGTCTAGGAAAAACACAGTCATGTCTAGGGCATGGCATGCTCTCAGGGAATGCGGCAGCTGCTGCTGTGGTTTGAGGAAGCCATCAGAGTCCCACTTCCTGAAGGAGGTGGCCCTGGTGCTGATGAGGTTAGCCGCAGGTCATTCCCCACTGCTGGCCATGCTTCCTGCCCTGGCCACCCTCACTCTGCCCCTTGCCCCTCTCCTCTCCTCATTTCCCCTCTTTATTGTTATTCCTGATGTTGATAAAAACACCCGGTTTAGGAAAACAGCTGGGTTGGATATGAAGCACCCAGCTTCTGGAGGCGGGCAGATAGAATTGGGTCTGAATCCTGACCGAGCCCCTGGCTTGCTGTGTGTTCTTGGGCGAATTGCTGTGTCTCTCTGAGCCTTGAGTTAATTAACTGTAAAATGAGGATGATAAATGCTGTTATGAGAAATTATTAGCCGCTCAGCAAAGTTCTGTCTTCTTTCCCTCCCTTCTTGAAGCTGCCCCTCCCAGCCTGAACAGGGTGTCCTGCTCCTCCCAGCAGCCCCCGGAATGGCTCTCCGTGACTCAGTTGTGTGCGGCCTCAGTCACTTGTGGCCTCTCCTTTCCCTCAGCCCCTGGGCTCCCGAGGCTTCTGGAAGCAGGTGGGGTCCCTGTGGCCTGTGCCGCTTCTCTGGTCTTCTCTGCAGGTCCAGCCCCAACTTGGGAGCTGCTACTTCAAACTGTGTGATCTGTATTTTTTCCTCACTTTAGCAATTACCACACCGCAGCTGACTGTCATTTTCATATTCCCAACACCAATAAATATTTATGAGGAGGAAGCTGGGCGTGGTGGCTCATGCCTATATTCCCAGCACTTTGGAGGCTGGAGGATGGGTGGATCACTTGAGGTCAGGGGTTTGAGACCAGCCTGGCCAGCATGATGAAAACCCGTCTTTACTAAAAATATAGAAATTAGCTGGGTCTGGTGACACGCCCGTAATCCTAGCTACTGGGAAGGCTGAGGCATGAGAATTGCTTAGGCCCTGGAGGTGGAGGTTGCAGTGAGCCGAGATCATGCCACTGTACTTCATCCTGGGCAATAGAGTGAGACTCTGTCTCAAAAAAATAAAATTATAAAATAAATAAATATTTATGAGGAGGAGAAAAGCCCTGGACTCCCAGGGGAGGTGGGGGCGGAATGTGCCAGGCTTCTTAGCAAGCTGTGTTCACACCCACCAGTGGTCCCTGCAGGCCCAGAAGTGAGAAGTGGGGGTGGGCAGGGCCAGGGCTGCGAAGGCAGTGCAGAGCCACCACCCACTTGCCTTTTCTTCTGGAAGGAGGCAGGAGTGGCTGTCTCTGTGCAGTGGCGGGCCTCACTGTCCTGCCCACCCTGTTGCCTACTGGACCCCATGCTCCTGGGGGAGGACTGGACGTCAAGGAGCGCTCTCAGCCTCGTGTGTACCTGCCCATCCCTCTGTCCACTACTGTTTTAGCCTCTGTTATTCTATCTTCTATTTTAACCCTTTCAGGGCCAGTGTCCCAATATTCCCTGCTCTTCCCCAAACCCCTCTCTTATCTCTGGGTCTCTGTCTCCATCTTTTAGTTTTCTCCTCTCCCTTCCAACAGTTACTTTCAGAGGTCCTAGAGCTAGCTGCTGGGGGCTGGGGAAGGGGGTCTGAGGCCCAAGACACAGCTCAGGGGAGAGGGCAGGGGGAGAAATGGAAGGCAAGTGAGCTCCACTTTTTGGGAGTCACAGACTACATCTCAACCTGACTCCTTGTCCAGCGCTCTGCAGGATGACTGTGGCATATTCTCCGCCTTTCCTGAGCTTCAGTTTCTGCTAAGTAAGGCAGCTGATTCCTTCACTCATTCATTCATTCACCTGTTCAGCTAATATTTATTGAGTGTTTGCTACCTGCCATTCATCTTTTGTGTTGTTTGTTTTTGTTTGGAGACGGAGTCTCGCTCTGTTGCCCAGGCTGGAGTGCAGTGGCAGATCTTGGCTCACGGCAACCTCTGTCTCCTGGTTTCAAGCAATTCTCCTGTCTCAGCCTCCCAAGTAGCTGGGATTACGGGTGCCCGCCACTACACCCAGCTAATTTTTGCATTTTTAGTAGAGACGGGGTTTCACCACATTGGCCAGGCTGGTCTCGAACTCCTGACCTCAGGTGATCCACCTGCCTTGGCCTTCCAAAGTGCTGGGATTACAGGCGTGAGCTACCATGCCTGGCCCCATCATGTATTAAACAATGATTGCAGTGCCATTCTGGATGCTTATAGTAGATGCATCTGTGGATAAGAGAGACAAAGATCCCTGCCCTCGTGGAGTGAGATGTTAGCAGAGTAGACACATAATAAAAAGTAAAATATGTACACATTAGAAAGTGATAAGTGTTGGCTGGACGTGGTGGCTCACACTTATAATCTCAGCACTTTGGGAGGTTGAGGTGGTCAGATGGCTTGAGTCCAGGAGTTTGAGACCAGCCTGAACAATATGGTGAAACCCCATCTCTACCAAAAAAAAAAAAGTACACAAAAAATAAAAATTAGCCTGGGATGATGGCATTGTGCCTGTGGTCCCAGCAACTTGAGAGGCTAATGAGGGAGGATCGCTTGAGCCTGGGAAGCAGAGGTTGTAGCAGTGAGCTGAGATTGCACCACTGCACTCCAGCCTGGGTGACAGAGTGAAACCTTTCTCAAGAAATAAAGTGGGGCCGGGCGCGGTGGCTCACGCCTGTAATCCCAGCACTTTGGGAGGCCGAGGCGGGTGGATCACGAGGTCAAGAGATCGAGACCATCCTGGTCAACATGGTGAAACCCCGTCTCTACTAAAACTACAAAAAATTAGCTGGGCATGGTGGCGTGTGCCTGTAATCCCAGCTACTCAGGAGGCTGAGGCAGGAGAATTGCCTGAACCCAGGAGGCGGAGGTTGCGGTGAGCCGAGATCGCGCCATTGCACTCCAGCCTGGGTAACAAGAGCGAAACTCTGTCTCAAAAAAAAAAAAAAAAAAAGAAATAAAGTGATGAGTGCTATGGAAAAAGAAGAAATAGAGCAAGAGAGGGACATCAGGCCCTGCGGGCACAGTGGGGTTGAGCATGCCGTCTCAGGGAGAGCGTCCCAGAAGAGAACTGTCCCCAAGCTGGGAATTGCCCTGGTATGTTTGAGGACCAGCCAGGGGCAGATGTGGCTGGAGATGGGCGAGGGAGAGTAGGAGGTGACACCGGGAAGCGAGGGTAGATCACACCGACCTTACAACATGACATGCTTTTCCTCACTTGAGCTCAGAAAACTTGCATTTGGAGACTCCCTCAGTCTGCCCTGCAAAGACCTGACTGCAAAGGGGCCGTTGCATAGCCCAGGAGAGCTCTGATGGCTACCGTGGGGGCTTATCAGTGGAGATGGTAAGCGTAGATTACGTGGGCACTGTTCACATCTCAAGCTTGCATGGTGCCTGTCAGTCACTCCGGCCCTGGTCCCTGGTCCTGCCTCAAGGTGGCCCACAGGAGCTTGCCCCTGGGCAGGATACTTGAACGCTGGCCTGACCTCTCTTTCTCTCCACAGAGTGTTCAAGAAGGCCAGTCCGAATGGAAAGGTGAGTCTGTTACGGCTGCGCCCAGCACCTCCCTGACCCCACACTCTGGTCATTTTCTCTTGGGACAGCAGAGGAAGTGGCATGTCCTCCTCCCCTCTGTGAGAGGGGGCAGGTGCTACTCGCCATGTTAGGGGTGACACAGGAGCTGTCAGTTGAAGGAAGAGGGACATACTCAGGAAACTTTTTGTCTGAGTGGGGAAGTACAGCTCCCCTGAGCTCTGGTGTGGGGAGAGATGGCCTGTTGGCCTGTCGTAGAGAGACTTCACTGAGGGTGTGACCGTGGAGGACGAGCCAACCAGTAAGTGCCAAGGGCCGTGGGGGAGTGAATCCCCTGCTGAGAGGACCCTGGCATCACCTCCTTATCCGGGGCGGCCCCAGGGCCTGTGTCCCTTTCTTCCTCCCTGCAGGTGCAGATGTCATCCTGCCTCCCCTCAGTTCAGCAGGTAGATATTACCGACATCATTCCACACCAGGCCTGGGCTGAGCCTGGCGGGGACAGGGGTAGGGTGGACTGAGATGAATGAGGCACAGCCTGTGCTTCTCACAGCCAGATGGCAGAGGCAGACACAGAAGCCCATCATTTCAGCATGAAGTGGCAGGCGGGAGATACGGGGCCATTGGGGTTGCAGGACCCAGCCGGGTGGGCAGCAGCAACCTCTAGGAGGAGTGCATTTCCAGGAAAGGCAAGGTGAAAACGGCATGGTAGGCAGGACATAAAGGCATAGGGACTGTGAGAATCTTAAGCACCTGATCTCAGAGTGCCAAGAGAGAGGCTGAGGCTGAGAGGCTGCAGGGCTGGTCACGGGAACCCTGTGGCTGGGCTTATGAGCTGGCCTGGGTTGGCAAATAATACCACGTGTGCTTCCACATCTCTCTCCTGTGCCCAGAGCAGATACCATCAGTCACCATCACCCTTTCCTGCTGCACCAGGGTTTCATCTTGGATTGTTTCTCAGCCCAGAGCCCCAGACAGCATCCCAGCTCCTCCCCCGACTAGTAGATCAGAGTTGGCACTTAGGACAAAACCCATTTGTCATGCTTACTTGTGGGCACTGAGGAACCATTAATGGGCTTCAGGCAGGAGTAGCATGGTTAGATTTGAATTTTAGGGCTAGGCGTGGTGGCTCACGCCTGTAATCTTAGCACTTTGGGAGGCCGATGTGGGTGGATCACTTGAGATCAGGAGTTTGAGACCAGCCTGGCCAACGTGGTGAAACCCCATCTCTACTAAAAATACAAAAATTAGCCGGGTGTGGTGGCGGGCACCTGTAGTTACAGCTACTTGGGAAGCTGAGGTGTGAGGATCACTTGAACCTGGGAGTCGGAGGTTGTAGTGTGCCAAGATTGCGCCACTGCATTCCAGCCTGGGCGACAGAGAGAGACTCTGTAACAGGAAAAAAAAAAAAAAAAAAAAAAAAAAAAAAAAAAAAAAAGCCAGGCATGGTGGCTCATGCCTGTAATTCCAGCACTTTTGAGGCCGAGGCAGGCGGATCACCTGACGTCAGGAGTTCGAGACCCGCCTGACCGATATGACAAAACCTCATCTCTACTAAAAATACAAAAATTACCCAGGCATGGTGGCATGCGCCTGTAATTCCAGCTACTTGGGACAGGAGAATCGCTTAAACCTGGGCAGTGGAGGTTGCAGTGAGCCAGCCCAGATCGAGCCATCACCCTCCAGTCTGGCAACAAGAGCAAAACTGTCTCAAAAACAATTGCATTTTAGAATGACTGGTCTAGCTAAGGAGGAGAGTAGGCTCTCAGCAAGTGAGCAGCAAAGGGCTAGTGTGGTCCAGGCAGGAATGGTTGTGGGGATGGAGAGGGATGGACTTGAGAAGTATGATGGAGGTCGAGTCATGAGGATCGAGGGGTTGTTGAGGAGCAGGACACACAGGGTGGCGCTCTGGATCTGGCTTTGAGCTGCTGGAGTTCTCTCTCGCGGCGGGGGGGGGGGGGGTTTCCCCTGGGGGCCAGCTTGGGGGGGGTCATGAGCTCCCTGACCCCTCAGGGCCTCAGAAGGCAAGTCCGCATGCACAGAACAGCTAACTGTGGGAGGCAGTGCATTTGTTAATTAGCTGGGGTCGCCTTTCCACAATGTGTATCTATTTTAAAACATTGTGTTGTGCATGATAAATAACATATCATTTTATGTCATTTAAAAATATTAATTAAAAAAAAAAAGAAAAGTCCTCGTATCAGTAGATCCCTGCCTGGCTGCATGGGAGGAGGAGCAACTGAGGAATGCAGTGCTGCCCGCGTTCAGAGCCCCTGAGCGCTCCGTGCTCCCGCCTGCCTGGGGCTCTCACCCTCTGAGGTGCCCGTACTCCTGCTCAGCCATCTTCTCTGCCGCTGCTGCTGCTCCACCCACAGTGGTGCTTGGCATGAAGATATCTCTGGGCCTGAGCGTCCTCATCTGTAAAACAGGAACAATAATCACTCCTTCACAGGGTTTTGGGAGGAAGAGGTGCTTTTACCATTTTACAAGGGTTTGCGAATCTTGGTATTAGGGCTGGGGTGAAGGCCCAAGTCCAGTTAGGATTTTGATCAAGGTTAGGGATGGGTCTAGAGTTTCAGAGGCAATTCGCAGGGTTTCCTCCAGGGCAGGGTCCTGTGTAACCCCCTATGCAGCTGCTAACGCGCCCTATGCCTCTCCTCCCCAGCTCACCGTCTACCTGGGAAAGCGGGACTTTGTGGACCACATCGACCTAGTGGACCCTGTGGGTGAGTCCCTAGAGGGTGGGAGGAGGGCTGGGGGAAGGTGGGGCTGGCCCAGCCTCCCAGGAGTAGCTCTCAACTCTCCAGAGGGGCCTGGTGCCAAGAATGGGGGTGAGTGGCTTCCTGCTTCAGGCAGCAAGCATTTACTGAGCAGCTACTTTCCCACTCAAGTGAGGACTACAAGAAGAGACTGTGGGAAGGACTGAGGTGATAGTCAGGGAAGGCATCATGACGGTAAGAAGGGAGGGGATGATGACGACAGATGCTGCCACTTACTGTAAGGTGTGTCATATAACAGACAGTGGCGGTGGCTATGATGACTATCCCTGCTTTACAGAAAAGGAGAATGAGGCACAGAGAGGCTCGGTGACTTACTCCAGGTCACAGAGCGAGTAGATAGAGGAGCCCGATTCAAACCTGGCATTCTGTAAAACCCTTTGTTCTGCTTCCTTGTGATGGCAAAGGGTGGGAGGCAGAGGGAGAATCCTTCTTAGGACTTATGAAATGGGGGCTCCTCGCTTACATGGAGTTCCTGCTGGAAGCTGGGCTGGCTGAAGGCACCTTCCAAGGTCTTGTTCAAGTTCAGGGTTTTGCAATCTCTGCATGCTGACATTTTGGATTGGATAGTTCTTTGTTGGAGTGGCCTGTCCTGTGTGTTATGGGACAGATAGTCACATCCCTGGACTCAACTCATTCAATGCCCAGAGTACCTCACACTCCAGTTATGACAATTAAAAATGTCTTTAGATGGGGTGTGGTGGCTCACTTCTGTAATCCCAGCATTTTGGGAGGCCAAGGCAGGAGGATCACTTGAGGTCAGGAGTTCGAGACCAGCCTTGCTAACATGGTGAATCCTCATCTCTACTAAAAATATAAAAATTAGCCGGGCATGATGGCAGGCACCTGTAATCCCAGCTACTTGGGAGGCTGAGTTGGGAGATTTGCTTGAATCTCGGAGGTGGAGGTTGCAGTGAGCTGAGATTGCACCATTGCACTCCAGCCTGGGCGACAGAGTGAGACTCCATATCAAAAAAAAAAAAAAAAGTCTTTAGTCATTAACAAAATATGTCCTTTGGGGACAAAATTACCCTGATTAAGAATCACTGCTCTCATTGGAAGAGCCTCGGTTTCATGGCCTCTTCTCATGCCTGTTTGCAGAGAGAAGCCAATTGGGCACGGTGAGGCCCAGAGAGGTTCAATGATTTTTTAAAGATAAGCCAACTAGCTGGGCATGGTGGCTCATGCCTGTAATTCTAGCACTTTGGGAGGCTGAGGCAGGTGGATCACCCGAGGTCAGGAGTTCGATACCAGCCTGGCCAACATGATAAAATCCCATCTCTACTAAAAAATAAAAAAATAGCTGAGCATTGTGGCATGTGCCTGTACTCCCTGCTACTGGGCTGGCTGTGGCATGAGAATAGCTTGAGCCTGGGAGGCGGAGTTGCAGTGAGCCGAGATCATGCCACTGCACTCTAGTCTGGGTGACAGAGCAAGACTCTGTCTAAAAAAAAAAAAAAAATAGCATATCAAAGTGAGGCCTAGTGTGGCCTCTCCCATCATGTCCCTGTGGGCTGTCTTGGGACCAAGGCAGAAGTGATTTGTGTGGCTCCTGAGCCAAGGGAGCGAGCCCGGCCGAGGCCTTCAGCTCACCAGGAAGAAGACCTGGGGACACTGGGCTCCTGGGGCCGGGGGCTGTCAGCAGAGCCCTTCATGGCCTGGAGCAGAACACCCCCACTTCTCCCCTCCAGCCGTGCCTGGAATACTGTTTGGTGTCTTCTGAAGCTCAGTGTCCCTCTGCCATTGGCATCTTCTCCCTGAGCTGGCCCCTCGGAGGCCGGGAGCAGGCATCCGTGTTCACCGGGGGCTGCTTCATGTCGTCATTTCTGGTGGGCCCTCTGAGGCCGGGGTGTCCATGCCCATTGGCCTACTAAGGACAGCAGCAGAGGTGGCCCAGAGGCTGGGAGAGGGACGGGGCAGGAAACTAGCCCCCAACACACGCAGGCACCCTGAGAGCTGTTCAGCAGGTGTTCACAGAGCACCCCCTCAGTGCCAGGCCCTTCATGAGCCCTGGGATCCCCGAGGGCTCTGGGGCACTGTGCATTGCTGATCAGGGACTCACAGTGAGAGATGCTCCTCCCACAGTGACCCTGCCATTTGGCCTGACCTGATCACACCCTCCCTATGCTTCCCGGTTCCCCACCAAACCTGCCCGCAAGTCCAAGCCCACTGGCCTGGCCAGCGGGACTCTGGTGATCCAGCCTGGCCCTCCTCTTCCACCAGCCTCCAGAATCTGCTCTCCCAGGCCTCAGAGCCATGCTGTTTCCCACTGCCTGCCTTGGCCTCCCTCTTCATCATATAATCAATGACGCTCACTTGTCCTTTGAGGCCTGGCTCCAGCCTCCCTCCCCCAGGGAGCCTTCTGTGCCACTCCCGACAGGTTGAGTGCCCTTTCGGGGGCTCCCTCTCCACTGGTTTTCTTCTGAGCCCCTGGGGCCCAGTGAAGGATGTGGCACAGAAGAGACTTCGCCATAAAAGCAAGGGAGACGCGTGGCAGGCCCTGGGGACAGGCTGGGCACTCCCCTGACCAGCTGTCCCTTGTGCCTCCCCAGGGCTGGGATTGGACTGGGACCCCTCCAGGCACTGACTTCCAGGTACCTCTGAGATTTCTAAGAGGTCAGCTGGGAGGAGCATGGAGTGGGAGTGACAGTGGGTTAGAGGGTAGAGGGGGAGAGAGAGGAAAGAAAGGTTTGGCCAGAGATAGACAGGGGATGTCAGCAAGGAGGTGACCCTGAGCCAGTGTTCCTGGCCTCCCGGGGTGCTGAGCAGAGATGTCCTTTGTGTTCAACTGGACTCTGCCCCCAAGGGCTGGCCTCAGGGCACTCAGGCGCCTTCCACAACCTGCAGCGTGCTCTGGAGTGCTCAGCACTGTCTAAGCGCTGTACACGTGTGTACATTCACATTCACACATGCACCCGTTCAATCCTCACGGGAGCCCCATGAGGGAGGCACTGCAGATCACAACCCCTGATCCACACGTGCCAAGCCCAAGAAGCTCTGAAAACCTAACATTGCTTCCAAGTTTACTGCAGAATTCATTTATTGGCAAACCTGACCCAAACTGATGTGAGGCTATTTATGCCTTATTTCACCTCTTGGTGAGAACATTTATGTTTTCCTATGGAGGCACTAATGGCTTTAATAATAGGACACAGATCTTGCAGAGGCCATCACAGAATATATAGAACATGTACCATTTTGCCTATTTTATTTTATTTTATTTTGAGACAGGGCCTCGCTCTGTTGCCCAGGCTAGGGTGGAGTGGCATAATCTCAACTCACAGCAGCCTCCACCTCCCAGGTTCAAGTGATTCTCTTGTTTCAGCCTCCCCAGTAGCTGGGACTACAGGCACCCACCACCACATCGGCTAAGCTTTGTATTTCTAGTATAGACAAGATTTCACCATGTTGGCCAGGCTGGTCTTGCACTCTTGGCTTCAAGTGATTCACCCATCTCAGCCTCCCAAAGTGTTGGGATTATGGGCGTGAGCCACCATGCCCAGCCCATTTTGCCTCTCTGTACTTCACAATTACTGAATTCCAAAGTGTACCTGGTTCTAGGAGTTTCGGACCTGTGTTATTATTCTTCCTAACAGATGAAGAGACAGAAATGTTTACTAACCTGCTTGAAGTCACCAGCTGGGTCCGGAAGGCCGGCCTGGGATAAGGGAAGGGTGGGGCATGGTGGAGGTAGGCAGTGCCACCTGCCCGGTGCCGGCCTTTCCATTTTCCTCAGCATGCCTTTAAATGGACAGATGGTTGGATCTGGGCTTGGACTGGTGTTTGGGGTGCAGGGGTTTGAGAGGCCAGGTTGGGAGAGGCTGCTCACTCTCTGTCCTTTCCCCAGATGGTGTGGTCCTGGTGGATCCTGAGTATCTGAAAGAGAGGAGAGGTAGGCTGCGGCCCCCACCCCTAGCCTGCCAAGGACCTCCTCTTCCCCCCGGACCTCTAGCATAGGGTCTCCCTGCCCGTCCCCACTGGTTCCCCTGAAAGCCCCAACAAATACCCGCGCGGTTGCCCTTGTCTTCTCCAGCCTGGGCCGGCCCTGCCCCAATCTACTTTGGGAGAAGGTTTCCCCATGCCCTGAGCTCTTTTACATCAATATGTCATGACTAGGGCAGGACCGGGGGTGCCAGCAGGGCAGGAACAGGGTCTCCTTTAACAAAACAGAACACTGATACTGGGGCAGTATCAACGCACATCCAAGGTCAGCAGGAAGACAGGAGTGGGGGACTGGGCTGTGACAAGACACCTTGCCTTCCAGACACCACCCAGCACTTGCCCTGCCCCCACCACTCCCTGCTCCTTCCCCAGGCTCCCCAGGCCTGCCAGACTACTCCAGCCACCCCCAAGCCTGTCAGACCATTTCCATACCCCTCCACACAAGCCCTGGGGAGAGGTGGGAGGGGAAGGACAGAGCTGGCTCAGCAGGCAGCCCCTCCTCCTCCCGGGGGTGAGGCCGTGGCATCCTTCCAGGTGCTCAATACTGGCCCCTCCTGGTGGAGACAGTACAGCCATCCCCACAGAGCTTGGGACAGGCCTCGGGTCCTCAGTGGGGTGGGTCTCCGGGCTGCAGCGGGCACTCTGCAGGGCTCGTCTGCTGCTCTCCCCAGCCCCTCCTCAGTGCTCCCTGCTCCCCACAGTCTATGTGACGCTGACCTGCGCCTTCCGCTATGGCCGGGAGGACTTGGATGTTCTGGGCCTGACCTTTCGCAAGGACCTGTTTGTGGCCAATGTGCAGTCCTTTCCGCCGGCCCCCGAGGACAAGAAGCCCCTGACGCGGCTGCAGGAGCGCCTCATCAAGAAGCTGGGCGAGCACGCCTACCCTTTCACCTTTGAGGTCAGGGACTGCCATCCCTGGGGCCCCATTCCAGAAGCGCCGCCTCTAGGAAGCCCTCTGGGGTGGGCACAAGGGGCGGTGAGGGTCAGCTGCTCCCTGCCACCCGGTTTCCCAGTGGACACTGGGACCTGGGGCACTGGGGCACTGACACCTGTGTTACCTGGTAAGTGTCTGTTCTTCAGCCCCTGCTGGGGGTGTCACCCATAACTCTGGGCTACTCCTCAGAGCCTTCTGAGGCCAGGTCATTGGTGGGAGAAAGTGGGGGGGGGCAAAGGGACTTCAGAGAAAGAAGGAGCCCTTTCTTGCCCCTGAGTCACTGCAAGGTGTCTCCCACTCAGATCAGCTCCCCACTTGCCTGGCCGCCCAGCTTGCAAGCACGGGATGGCAAGCAGGTGATCTTTCTGCCCCACCGCCTTTCAAATCAGAGACTTTGAGACACTGGATTTCAAAATCTCATGTTTCCGGCCAGGCATGGTGGCTCACACCTGTAATCCCATCTCTTTGGGAGCCCAAGGTGGGCAGATCATGAGGTCAGGAGAGTAAGACCATCCTGGCCAACATGATGAAACCCCATCTCTACTAAAAATACAAAAATTAGCTGGGTATGGTGGTGTGTGCCTGTAATCCCGCTACTCGGGAGGCTGAGGCACAAGAATCGCTTGAACCTAGAAGGTGGAGGTTGAAGTGAGCTGAGATTATGCCACTGCACTCCAGCCTGGCAAAAGAGCGAGACTCCGTCTCAAAAAAAAAAAAAAAAAAAAAAAAATCTCATGTTTCTTAGATTCTCTGATTCAGAGATTCAGTGCAGTCCCTTCCTTAGCTCCCTATGGCTGCTGGCTGCTGGCTGCTGAAACAAATTGCCACAAGTTTGGCGGCAATTAAAATGACACAGATGTATACGCTTACAGCTCTGGAGGTCAGAAGTCCTCAGTGGGCTACCATGGAGGCATGGCAGGGCTGGCTCCCCTGGAGGCCCTCGGGAAGCGTCCACCTTTTCCAGCTTTGCTTTCCTCGGCTCACGGCGCCTTCCTCCATGGTCAAAGCCAGCAGCGGCCGGTTGAGTCTTGCACATCCCGTCACTCTGGTTAGGACACTTCTGCCTCCTGCTTCCACTTCTAAGGACCCTCCTGATTCTATCGGGCCCACCAGAACCATCCAGGATACTATCCCCATCTCAAGGCCTTAATCAGATCTGCAAAGTCACTTTTGTCATTAAGGTCCAAGGTTTTGGGGGGTTAGGGTGTGGACATCTTTGGGGGACCATTATTCTGACTACCACAGTAGACATCACAGAAAGATCTATTTAAACTGTTGCTGTGAGGACTGGGCTGGGCCAAACCCTTTAGACAAAGAAAACTCAGACACTTGGGCATGGTTTGGCATGGTCTGATGGGGTAGACATGGCCTGTTCCCAGGGCCCCCAGGTCTGATGGGTGTATGGGAGTGTCTGGGGTGCAAGATATGAGAAAGGACAGTGGCAGATGTGACAGGTGGCTCATTCTGTCTTCCTCTTGACAGATCCCTCCAAACCTTCCATGCTCTGTGACATTGCAGCCGGGCCCCGAAGACACGGGGAAGGTAGGTTACCCCAAGGGGACCATTTCTCTGGCTCCAGGACTCTCATGTCCCCAGGTCCCTGGCTTTCTCCCTGGGAAGTGCTGGACACACAGTAACCCTCTCCCTGTTGAAGAGTCTTTGTGTCTAGGCTAGGCTGGTCCCACCTTGGACAACCAGTCTCTCTTCAGACAGGGCAGCAGGTATGGGGTCAACCTCACTCTCCCATCCAGTGGTGGGTCCAGAGGCCCTCCTGAGTCACCCTCGCTGGTCGTGGTGTGGGCTGCAACAGGACCAAAGTGTTCTGAGGACCTACACCTGGCCTCATGTAACCCCTGGCAATCTTGATTCAAGGCGCGATCATCCCCATTTCACAGATGGGGAAACTGAGGCTTGGAGAGAAGTGACACCACTAATGTCCCAGGCTCTGGACCTTTGATCCCAGCTTCCTCATCTGCAAAGTGGAGATCACAGCATGTGCCTCCTTGTCTTGTTAAAGGGATACTGGAGAAAGCCACCCAGGGCCAGGTCTGCACACAGAAGTAGGTACACTCAGTCTGCTCAGGTGCCTGTTGCTATTTCTGAGCAGCTGCCTGGATGAGGATGGCCACCCAGACTAAGGGAGGAGCCCAAAGAGCAGAGCCGCGTTAGGGTGGTTTGGGATGTCCCATGTTAGATGCAGGAGGCAGCACAGCTCTGGGGCTAAGCACAAGGGCATTTCCCGGCTTCTTCCAGAGCAAGGAGGGCTGGGCTGTGGGAGCTTGGTGTTCCTGTCCAGTGTCCTCGTTTGTAAAATGAGAGATGGGCGGGCGCGCATCGGGGACACTGCTTCTCCAAGGCCCCGCAGTCAGTGAACGCTTCCCCACAGGCTTGCGGTGTGGACTATGAAGTCAAAGCCTTCTGTGCAGAGAATCTGGAGGAGAAGATCCACAAGCGGTGAGTAGGATGCCAGGGTGTGGGCCGCCTGCTGAGTGAGGAGGGAGACAGGATGGGCAAAGCCCTGTAACAATACCTGGAAGTGTGTGAGGAGGGGTGCACATTCCAGCCTTGGGAGCTCTGAGAAGGGCACTCTGGAAGCCGGTAGGTCACGGAGGGCTTCCTGGGGGAGGTGGTTTCAACTGCTTGGGTTCAGGCTGCAGCATCTTCTCCTTTGCACCATTGTGGCAGCTTCCTCCCTCATCTCCCTGCCCCTCGTTTCATCCCCTCTAGACTGCATATCTTTTTAATTTGCTTTGGAAAAACCCTAAATTCAGATTGTGTTAAACAGTGAGCAGGCTGTTTCCTGACCATCCCCATTTTCCAGTTTTCCTCCTGGGAGGTGTTCAGCAGGGGTGGAGTGTGTGTCAGTGGCAGCTTCTGAGGGAGGAGGAAGTGGAGATAGTGAACCCACCCAGGGGAGAGTGATGGGGAGGTCGACCCACATCTGAGAGAGGGGAAGTGTTCTCCGGAGAGGCACAGCCCGGGCAGACCGAGAGCCCAGGCTGGCAGCCAGAAACAGCTGGCCCGGATGTCTCATGCCTGCCCCTCTTGGGTCGGGCTGTGCTCTGCCAGCCTCCTGGAATGGCTGGCCTCAGGCTCCCCCCCAGCCCCGCAACGCTGATGTTCATGCATCCAGAGGCACCGTTCCCGGAGAAGGCTGGCTGAGGGCACAGCAGCCTCTTTAGGGCGAAAGCTGAGTTTGCCACCTGGTGGCTAGGGGTGTATTGCATGCATTTGCATCTGCAGCCCAGGCAGCTGTGTGTGGGAGATGGGACTTTTCTCCCTTGCTTCCCTGTCTCCCTTTTCCTCGTAAGACCTGAGACCAGGGAAAAGGACGGGTGCTATGGGATGTGGAAGGAAGCTTGGTAAGCACAAGAAAGAGGAGGTGACTTTGAGAGCCACCCTCTTACCCTACCACCAATGGGACATTTAAAATCCAGATAATGGTACAGAAGCTATCATTTATCAAGGGCTGATTAGGTGCCAGACACCATTCACAGTGCTGGGTGTGTATGAACTGATTTAATCCTCACAGCAACTCTAAGAGGTAGGTCCTGGCTGGGTGCAGTGGCTCTCACTTTGAAAGGCTGAGGTGGGCAGATCACTTGAGGCCAGGAATTCCAGACCAGCCATGGCCAACAGGGTAAAACCCCATCTCTACTGAAAATACAAAAATTAGGTGGGTGTGGTGGTACATGCCTGTAATCCCAGTTACTCGGAAGGCTGAGGCAGGAGAGTCGTTTGAACCAGGGAGGCGGAGGCTGTAGTACGCCGAGATCACACCACTGCACTCCAGTCTGGGCAACAGAGTGAGACTCCATCTCAAAATAAATAAACAAATAAAAATTTAAAAAGGAAAAAAAGAGATAGGTCCTTCTATCATCACCCTTACAGATGAGGGAACGGAGGCAGAGAGAGATTAATGTACCCAAGGTCACACAGTTAGTGAGAGGAGAGCTGGGAGTTTGACCCTGACTCTCTGGTTCCAGGCAATGGAGGCAGCTTATCTGAGCAATGGCGATGCCAGCGTTTCCAGCACGCCTCAGAGACGGCCTCACCGAGTCCCTCTCCCTCCCGAGATCCTTTTGCTCCCTGAGCCACTGTAACCATGGAGCCAGTTTCATCCCTGGGCCTTCTCCCCTCCCTGGGGTTGTCCCCTTCACTGGCTGGCATCCCCCTGACTGAATCCACATCTCCTCCCTGAACCCCAACACCTCCCCAAGCCCTATTTCGTGGGGCCCCTGTCCCCTCTGCATAGATATCTGACAGGTGTTTATTATATGGCAGGCACAGCATAGGTGCTCAGAGTACTGCTGTGAACACTTTAGACACAACTTTCTATCCTTAAAGAGCTTATACAAATAGTTTCCTATGTGATCAAAATAGATGACAGAGGGACACTGTTTGTGTAAGGTGACATAGGGAGGCAGGAAGTGAAAATGTCACCTGTTTGGTGACATAGGGAAGCAGGAGGTGAAAATGCAGTCCCTGTTTCAGCATCCTGCTGGGTATCAGGACCCTGTGCGGCCACAGGGCCACTCTGTGACAGAACAGGGGAGGATGGAATGGGGCCAGATGGTGACAGGACCCCTATGCTGACCTCTGCAGTTTGGCTGGATTCTAAGGCAATGGAGAGCCATGGCAGTCTCTTGAGCAGGAGAGTGGTGTGAGGCTCGCAAGGAGAGGGGATGAAGGCAGTTGACCCTGGTCTTCTTTCACTCCGCCCATCTCCATTAGGAATTCTGTGCGTCTGGTCATCCGGAAAGTTCAGTATGCCCCAGAGAGGCCTGGTCCCCAGCCCACAGCCGAGACCACCAGGCAGTTCCTCATGTCGGACAAGCCCTTGCACCTAGAGGCCTCCCTGGATAAGGAGGTAGGAGACTTGGCAGGGGGTGGCAGGGGACTTCTCCACCAGGGCCTGGCCTCAGATCCCTGCTCTCTCCTGGCCTGCAGGGATGCCTCAGGCAAGAGCTCCTACCCCCAGCCCGAGGACCACAGGGCTCGGGGAATCTGAGACCTCCCCTGGGGGATTTGGAGAAGCCTCTTGGGCCTAAAGGAGTGGCAGAGGGGGCATGAACCTGAGGGATGTGACAGACTTCAGAAGGGAGCAGCAGACCCTCCCGAAGGTCCTGGACATCCCCTCCACCTCCATCAGCTGCCTGCCTCAGTCTGAGAGCTGATGGCCAGCGAGCTCTGCAAAGGGGACGGGGAGGCCGTGACCTCCCCTCCAACCCTGAGCATCAGGGCAACAAGCCCTGCAGAAGGAAGGGCCTCCCCTCAAGCTCTGATTCAAACCCAGCTGACTGACGCCTGCTGTGAGCTCGGGCTGGCCCTTCCGTGAGATGTGGGTACCCCCCCTCTCTCGGGGCATGGCTGAAGGCACGTGTCTTGGGCAAGATGCAAGTTAAGGCCTTCTGGGAGAGATTCAGAGCTGGCTCTCTCAGTGAGCTGGTCAGCCACTCCTCACCTTTCCCTGCTTCTTCCAGATCCTTCCGTGGACAGATTTTAGCACTGGCAGGGTCTTATGACATCACCTAGTCCAACCTCTTCATTGCACAGAGGGAGACCCTGAGGCTTAGATAACCTCCCCCAGGTCACACTGCTTTTCTCATGTCGTGATTACTGGTGGCCAAGCCAGGGCTGGAGCCCACGACTGTCACCTTCCAATTCCGTTATCTTTCAAGGGTCCCTCCAGGGAACTGAAGGGCTAGTGTGCTTGGTGGCTTTCATGCACCTTAGCAGCAATGGGAAGCGGCTGATGAACTTAAGGCAAATGTCAGAATGCCCAAGGTCTGAGGAACCCCAGAAGATCATGGGGGGCTTTTCTCCCTCCTCTTTCCCTAGAACCTTGCTATCCTCTCAGCCATCCCTTCTTATGCCCCCCAGATCTATTACCATGGAGAACCCATCAGCGTCAACGTCCACGTCACCAACAATACCAACAAGATGGTGAAGAAGATCAAGATCTCAGGTACCCCAGGCCAATGATCAGCGTAGGGGGCAGGAGAGGCAGCCTTTCCATGGGCTGGGGGTGGCTGAAGGGTCTCCCTTGTTAACAGCCTTGTATAATAAGTAGCTACTGAAGCCCAGGGCCTGCCCTGAGCCACAGGGCCCCACTTTTGAGGCGGGTCAGGCAGGCGGCTCATTGGCCAGGTAATGAGTTTACTCTTTAAGCCGCCTCTTCTCTTCAGTTTCTTGGGTTCTGGGCAAAGCTGTCCTTGAGGGGAAGGCTTTGGTTATGGAAGGAAATGCGTGTGTTTTGGGGCTACCCTTTGGATGGAAGACAGAGGTAGTCTCAGGCAGAAGTCCCTGCTGGTGGCCTCTGGCCATTGCCTGGGGCTGAATATCCCCAACCCCAGGAAGCCTGAGAGACTCCATGGGAGCTGCATTCCAGACTCACTCCACCGCATTCCTCTCCCTCCCCAGTGCGCCAGTATGCAGACATCTGCCTTTTCAACACAGCTCAGTACAAGTGCCCTGTTGCCATGGAAGAGGCTGAGTAAGTGAGCACACATCTGGCCTTGGGCATGTGGAACTGGGTGGGAAAAAGAAGCTCTAGGTGTCCTGTTACAGGTCCACGTGTCTCTTCTTCACCTGGCAGAGGGCTGGGCCTCAGACTTCCTTGCCACTCAGAGTAGATAATCCCAAAGAGCCTTTTAGAAATCATTCATCTGATTTAGCTACAAGAAAATGCAAGTTACAATCAAGGAAGAGACCCACTAAAACTAGAATGACAAAACAAGAGCTAATGAATGTAAGGGGATTGGGACTGGGGAGAGAAAATGATTACCTTGTACAAGAAACCTAGGTTGAAGGGAAATACTTGGTTCTGAGCTTCCTGGTAGCCAGGGCAAAGTAGGCAAGGCACTAGGCACACAGCTCTTCTTGTCTGATAAAGGGGTAATCCAGCTCACTGGGTAAAGGGGTTGTGTGTGGGAGTGTAGAGACTAATTATACACACACATTAAAAAAAAATCTAGGTTTGAGGAGAACTACTATGGTTGAGTGTGGACTGAATTGTGTCCCAAGCTTGTTGGCAGTTAAGGCAAGAGGAGAGATTTCAAGTGAAACATCCTTACTTACCTAAAGGAAGTAAACGCTCCCATTTAAAGACACACACACTCTTTTTCCTGGCCCTGCAAGTAATTTCTTGGGGCAATTTTACTATGTATGTGTATTTGTTTATATATAATTCCAACCAGTATTTTTTGCAACTTAAAACATTTAAAAAATGTTACTAGGTGGCCTTGGAAACAGTTTTTAATGTCCTGTAGGTGAACATGCTGTGATGAGATCAAGCGTTCCCTGGTTATTGGATATTTTTGACATTCATTGTTGTTCTTTTTTAAAAAAAAATCAGAGCCATGAGGCATAGATTCCAGATGGTAAAGTGAAGTGATCTGGAACAGAGTAACATATAATCCCTGAAGGGTAGAACATCCCAACCCCTGCAGACGGTGCCAGCGTCTGCATAACAAATCCCAGCAGGGGTGGCTGGGTAGGTCTTCGCACTCACAGACTTGTTTACTTCTCAGGAAGCCCTGTGGGGCTGGGGTTGCTGCTGTCCCAGTGTGTCTAGGAGGAAGTGGCTAGAGAGATGTGACTTGCAAGCTAGCAAGCAGCAAAGCTGGGGCTGGAACACAGGTCGTCCGACTCCAAGGCTTGCTCACTATCTGCTGCATGTCAGCTCTCTCGTTGGAAAGGATGGGGGATAGAGCAAAAGCAAGCAAACATTGGACAATCAAAACACACTATACATGATGGATGTGATAAAGCAAGTAAAGTTTTAATTGTTGAGCCTAGATGGTGGGTGTGTGGGTGCCCAAATAGCTTCATTTATGGTTTGTGTGTCGCTATAATTTTTTTTTTTTTAATTTATTTACAGACAGGGCCAGGTGCAGTGTCTCACACGTGTAATCCCAGCATTTTGGAAGGCTGAGGCGGGCAGATTACTTGAGGTCAAGAGTTTGAGACCATCCTGGCCAAGATAGTGAAACTCCATCTCTATTAAAAATACAAAAATTAGCTGGGTGTGGTGGTGTGCGCCTGTAATCCCAGCTACTTGGGAGGCTGAGGTAGGAGAATCGCTTGAACCCAGGAAGCAGAGGTTGCAGTGAGCCAAGATCACACCACTGTACTTCAGCCTGGGTGACAGAGCAAGACTGCCTCAAAAAATAAAATAAAATAAAATTTGTTTAGAGACAAGAGTTTTGCTCTGCTGCCCAGGCTGGAGTACAGTGATGCAATCTTGGCTTACTACAGCCAGCCTCGAACTCCTGCCTCAGCCTCTCAAGTAGGTGTGCGCCACCATACCAGGCTAATGTTTAAAATGTTTTGTAGAGATGGGGACTTGCTCTGTTGCCCAGGCTGGTCTCAAACTCCTGGCCTCAAATGATCCTCCTGTCAGCCTCTCAAATTGCTGGGATTACAGGCATGAGCAACTGTGCCTACTGTGGCTGTAATTTTTAAAATAAATGTGCTTTTTAGCACTGTGCTGCTTGACTATGATAATCTTTTAGAATATACCAGATTCGGTCCTGTTTGTGCATAGAATGTGGATGTGCCTCTTTTGAGTGGCAGTGGTCTCCGGAGCTGGGCTTGCCCAAGTGGTCCCTGTGTCTGGGGGGGATAGAGGTTAGGAGAGGGAGGCTTGGAGCAGGGCCAGATTAGATGTTCTGCTGGGCTGGAGAGCAGGGCTGGGGTTGGCTGTGGGGAGGGCCAGCTTCACAGCTGCTTCCCTTCTTCCCAGTGACACTGTGGCACCCAGCTCGACGTTCTGCAAGGTCTACACACTGACCCCCTTCCTGGCCAACAACCGCGAGAAGCGGGGCCTCGCCCTGGATGGGAAGCTCAAGCATGAAGACACGAACTTGGCCTCTAGCACCCTGTGAGGACCTGCCCGCCTAGCCCTGGGCTCCTGGTGCACGTTGCTTTTCACCCTCCTTGGTCCCACCAGTTCAAAGACAAGGCTCAGGCTACCTTCTCCCCAGCCTTGTCCAGGGCCTGTCCTCAGGTGCTTGACTTATCAGGGAAGCTACCTCCTTACTCCCATCCTTATCCAAGGGTGACCGAGGGACTAAGATGGACCACTAGGCCAGCTCACTCAGGCAGTGCTGGGCTGTGTTACCATGCCCAGGAAAGGGCAACCTGGGAAGGCTTCCTGCAAGAGGTGGCAGCTTCTGACCCAGTGCCTTCAGTCAGATGGGGTATCCCTGAGGAAAGACCAGGGTGGTGATCTGAGTTAGACCCAACACGGGGTGCCCCTCCAAGTCAGGGGCCCCAGGGCCTCTGGTCACTCCTGCTGCACAGTCATCACAGACGCCTCTAGGCTACTCCACTCCAGCACTGCCCTGGTGTGTGGGGCTGCCATCGTTCCCTCTTGCAAGTGTGATCCTTCGGCGGGGCTTTGGCCTGTGTCTAGAGCAGCCTCCACTCCCAGCACGGACTCGGCTCTCTTCCCAGCAACTGCACAGCCTCCCACTTACCTGAAGCTTTTTGCCCCATCTCCACCCGGGCTCACACTCTCCCCATCTTCAAGACCCAGCTGAGGCACCAACTCCACGGAGAAGTCCTTCTCTGACAGTCCCCACCCCACCCCAGCTGCCTCGCCCTCTGCGAACTTCCCATCTGGCCCTTTCTGCCCATAGATTGCTGAGAGAAGCAGAGTCCATCTGAGGGGAGGAATAGCCTGGCCCTCACTGTGGGGACGCTGGTGTGGGCAGAGAGAGGGGCTCAACATGGCCACACAGCGAGCGAACCTCACAGCCAGACGTGCAACTGGGGCTCTGGGTCCCCGCTCCCTAACAGCATAGCTTGCCTTCCTCACCTCCATGGGGCCCCACACTGGGCTCTGTTAGACATGGTGACTGAGAGGCCAGCCAGATGGGGGATGGACAGCCACTGCCTCCCAGCACACCCACCCCTGCAGGGTCGCGCCCACCCCTCGAGACCCCTGAACCTGGCTCCCCCCATGTCACTTTGCAGATTGAGGGAAGGCGCCAACCGTGAGATCCTGGGGATCATCGTTTCCTACAAAGTGAAAGTGAAGCTGGTGGTGTCTCGGGGCGGGTGAGTGCTCTAGCCCAGCCCAGGACCCCTAGTGCAGAGGGGAGCATCCCAGGCGCCCACAGCCCCCTGCCCCGTTCTGCCTGTTTGCTGTCCTTTCGGCTGCACCCACCTGGGAGGAGGACCTCCTGTCCCTTCTCTTCCTCCCTTGTGTTCCTCTTTCTCCTCCCCTGCCCACTTTCCCTCTCTTCCATCCTTGGCCCTCAGCCCCTCCCTCAGCCCCCGCCCATCTCTTTCTCTATCTCTCTCTCCTTCTCCTCTTCTATCCTGGGCCTGGGCACGCCCTGAGGATTGGCCATGCCCAGGCGACAGAGTCCTCAGGGTCTATGCAGTGGGGTCCCCCAGAGTGCCATATCCCTCATCACACCTTGGGGCATAGCACCGCCCCCATGCATGCCCAAGCTGATTTTCTGAGGAAGCAGCTGAAAGGGGCTCAGAACCCACAGCAGGATTGGGGATTTGCTAGCTGGTCAGCTTTCCCATTTTACAGATGGTGAAACAGAGGCCCAAACAGTGCCCCAAACATTGTCTGAAGTCTCCTCCCCTAACTCAGGTCATGGGCTGGGGTCACAGCAGTGGACCAGACTTTCCTGCCCTGGAGCGTAATTTGGTGGAAGCTTGGGGAGAGAAAAAAAAAGAAACTCCTTTTTGTGTGTGTGTGTAACTTAGTTCATACATTTCTATGAAAAGATTGAAAAGCTAAATCCCATTAGACATTGGGTCTCCATGATTATTAGAATAATGCTTCTTGGCAGGTGGCAGTGTGTAATCCTGACCTTATATAATAGGACACCTGAAAATTACAAATCCCAAATGCTGTGTCTGGTGACCCTTCAGGACCCACAGTCTCTCAAACATTCTTGGCAACCCCGGAGTCCTTCCCTCTGCCTTTAAATAGCCCAGCCTCCCTTGGGGCAGTGAGCCCCAGGGTTAATTTTCACACTGCCTTTACAGATGAGGATCCTGGGCCTCAGGGGGTTTGCTGAGCTGGGTCTAGATCCCAGTCCCCCAGGGCAGCACTAATGCCAGTTCCACATATCCCTGAATGAGCAGTCAGGGCTGTGCGGGGTGGGGCAGGGGGCGGGTGGAGTGTGTCCTGTGGGTCTTCGCTATCTGGGGGGCAGCAGAAGTGGTGAATGAATGTGCTTTTTGTTTTCTTCCTCTCTGAACTCTCTCCTGACCACTTCTCCTGCCTCCTCTGACCCACCCAGCCTGTTGGGAGATCTTGCATCCAGGTAAATTCCTCCCTTCCACCTGGTTCACCCACCTTCCTGGAGGGCCTGGAGCCCCATTGGCTTGACTGACCAGAATCACAGGGTGCTGGGTTGGAAGGAATCTTGGTGGTCATTTCAGATTGCCAGGTTCAGGTGTGAGCTGGGAGACACCATTTCTCTTTAACAAACCTCACTTTGCTCTTCCATCCCACCCGAGTGACAGGGACCTTTACAGAGAGCAAAGCCTGATTGCATTGATACAGGGAGTGGGAGCCGGGCACGGTGGCTCACGCCTGTAATCCTAGCACTTTGGGAGGCTGAGGTGGGTGGATCACCTGAGGTCAGGAGTTCAAAACTAGCCTGGCCAACATGGTAAAACCCCATCTTTAAAAAAAAAAAAGAAAGAAAAAAAAAAGATACAGGGAGTGGTCCCGAAGAGGGCTGTCTGAATTACTGATCACCTGAATCATAGCAGCTTTTGGAGAAATGCAGACTTCATGGCTTTCAAACTTCTGCACTAATGAGAATGAGCTGCTGCTGGCCGAGTGTTGCTAAGGAGAGGTCCTTAGGAGATCCTCTTTTGTAAACACAGCTTCCTTGCAGCCAGCTCGAAGCACTTAGATTCCAAACATGTATGTACCCTACACACAGCAGTTTGGCCTTCTGTCACAAGATGGCAATGTGGCTCATCCTAAGAAATCTTAGTCTAATTTGACAGGTGAAATTCATTCAATTCAATTCAGTTCCATATCATTCAGCAAGGATTTCCTCAACCCAGGCTGGTGCCCAGGCTGGTGCTGAGTGCCAAAGTCCCAGAGAGGAATCAGGTGTGCCCCCTGCTCTTATCGTTCCTGGCCTGGTAGAAGGTTAAAGTCCAGATTCTTTCCCTAATGTTGGCAAACTTGGTCTTCTACCAGCTCCATTCTGAAGTAGTCCCCAAAGCAAAAGGAAAAAAAGGAAGAAAAAAAGGCCAAATAGTTCTGACAGCCTTATAAAACCCCAGGTTCCCGCTGGAGGAAGTAATGATTCTGGCAGGCACAAGCTTCACATTTTTATTTTATTTTTTTTATTCTTTTTGAGAAAAGGTCTGATGCTATTGCCCAGGTTGGAGTGCAGTGGTGCAAACTTGGTTCACTGTGACCTCCTCTGCCTCCTGGGTGGAAGCCATCCTCCCACCTCAGCCTCCTGAGTAGCTGGGACTACAGGTGTGCACTACCATGCCCAGCTAATTTTTGTATTTTTAGTAGAGACGGGTGGTCGGGGGTGGTGTCTTACCATGTTGCCCAGGCTGGTCTCGAACTCCTGAGCTCAAGGGATCTGCCCACCTTGGCCTCCCAAAGTGCTGGGATTATGGGCATGAGCCACTGTGCCTGGTCAAGCTTCACAGTTTAACTAGCATTTTAGCTGCCTCCTCTCTAGGAAGTTACAGTGGTTCTAGAAGACAGGCGTTGTTATCCCGGTTTCGAAGTTGAGCTCAGTGAGACTCAAAGCCAGAATGTTGCACCAGCGAGTGGCGAGGCTGGCAGAGCAGACCCTTCCAGTTGCCCAGCTTGTGCCTCTGACCACTCCATTCCCTTTCCCTTTCTCCTTCCCAACTGGGCTCTGGGCAACAAGATCAGTGAGATGTGGCTTGTGCCTGGAGGCACTCCCGATGGGGGGATCTCCTAGGGTGATGCCACCCCAAGCCGAGAGGAGCCTTTGGGGTTACTTTTGTTAGTCTCAGTCCTGCTGCTATCACACAGTGGTCAGGGTGTGGTTATGGAGCCAGAATCCACTATCACTTGCCATTCATAGCTGCGTAGCCTTGGGCAAGATTTCTTAATCTCCTCATGCTTCAATGCCCCAGTCTGTACACCGGGGATAATAGGGTTGTTGCGAGATTAAATGAGTTACTCTACAGAAGGGGCTTACAGTAATCCTTGGCACAGGGTCAGCACCATGTGAATACCTGCTTTTATTCTCTCTGTCAGGGCCAAACACAGAGAAAGCCCCATCAGTAGCACTGGCTGGTGGCTGGGTCTTCCCGACCACTTTCCCCTGCATCCCCACAGTGGACAGCCTTGGCCCTGGGGCCATCCTAAACCTGACTAAACTGACCTCAACAGTGCTTCATCCAGATTGCAGGGGGTCGCCTGAGCACTTTGACAAGAGTGTCCTGGATGTGTTGGGAGATGGGTTGGTGTCAGGGTAGGAGGTGTTCCAACCTGGAAGCTGGGAAGGGCAATGTCATGGGAGGCGAGGTGGCTGTGGCGATTTGAGGTGGGCAGGGTTCTAGGGCACCTCTGGAGCCCCGCAGTGACCATGGTGCATGCTGCCCTGGGCAATCCTTGCCCACCCCTTGGCCTTCTCCCAGCCCGTGGGAACCCAGAGAGCCTTCTCAGGAAAGGGGAGGCTTCCATTTCTTTTTGGAGCCAGAGGAAGTCTCCTGGTCCAGCTCCCAGGTGGACCGAGGCTCTGAGTGGCAGAACTGGGGCTGGAGGTCATCTTTGGGATCTACCTCCTCTGACAGCAAAACCCTCCGCAGTCCTTGGACTGGCAGGGCATCGAGTCCCATAGCTTTCGAGTCTGCTCAAGGCTCACTGGGTCTGGGTCTCTGTTTCAGCGACGTGGCCGTGGAACTGCCCTTCACCCTAATGCATCCCAAGCCCAAAGAGGAACCCCCGCATCGGGAAGGTGAGCAGAATCTGTGGGTCTCTGGGGTAGGGGTTCTCCAGCAGCTGCCATGTGACCCTGTAACCCACCCCCTGCCCTGGGTTTGCCCTCAGCCCAGTCACCCTTTTCTCAGGTCCCCAGATCTTTTGTGTGGTCCAGAACTAAATGTGCTTCTGACCCTACCAGGAGACAGTGAGGTGTGGCTCCTGTTCCCCATGGGAGAGGGAGGCCGGGAGTGGAGGAGGGAGCCCACTGGCCACGCTTTGAGCCTCTGTCTTGCACTCAGGCAGGGGCTGAGTCCTGTTTGGAAGTAGGGGAAGGGGTTGCATGGATAAGATGACCACTGGACACACCACTGTCATGTTTTCTTCTTCTTCTTCTTCTTTTTTTTTTTTTTTTGAGACAGAGTCTCTCTCTGTTGCCCAGGCTGGAGTGCAGTGGTACGATCTCAGCTCACTGCAACCTCTGCCTCCTGGGTTCAAGAGATTCTCCTGCCTCAGCCTCCCAAGTAGCTGGGATTACTGGAGGCTGCCACCATACCTCGCTGATTTTTGTGTTTTTAGTAGTGACAGGGTTTCACCATGTTGACCAGGCTGGAGTTGAACTCCTAACCTCAGGTGATCCTCCCGCCTTACCCTCCCAGAGTGCTGGGATTACAGGCCTGAGCCACCGCGCCTGGCCTGTCATGTTTTTCAAGTGATACCAGATTGGTCATATTTCCTTGAGTCCGAGACTTTCAGTAGATAGAGACAACATTATAGTAGGTACGATTAGGAAAGAACCTCCATGGCTAAACTGTGCAGTGCCATCGATGGTAAGGCACTCCAAGTTCAGAGATGTTCAAATGTGAAGGAAACATTTTTTTAAAAGTTGTCTTAGAGTTGGTGAAAGGCATGCATGCAAGGAATTAACATAAGTCATGTTGGAGACCTGTCAAAAGGAACAGAGGTCTAGAGGATTTTCTGCTCTTCTGGGGCTGCAGTGGGCATTTGGGGCCCTCCTGGTGCCCTCCTCCCTGCCTTCCAGATAATTTGGGGTGTTTCAAGACCAAGAACGAGGCCTCCCCTCTCCATTCCCCTTTTTCCTTCGCCCTCCTCATGTTATCTGGTTGTCCCAGGGTGGGGGCCTGTGCCCACTCACCCCGTGCTCATCCCTCACTAACCCCTGGACGTCCTGCCCACTGCCCTGTGTTTAGTTCCAGAGAACGAGACGCCAGTAGATACCAATCTCATAGAACTTGACACAAAGTAAGCCGAACCCTGCCTGCAGATGTCTGGGTGGGCGGGCCGTGGGAGGGGAGGGCACAGGGTGGAGGGGTTCATTTGCATATATGCTTATTAACCCCTGAGGAGCCACTGGTCTAACCCCGTCTGCTGAGAGCCGCCTCTGCTCGCCTCTTCAGCAACCCGCTTGCCTGCATGTGACTTGAAGGACCCTCCGTGCCTGTTCCTCTTCCTCCTGCCTTGGTGGGGTCTGTCTTCCTCCCTCGTCCTTGCACATCCGTCCGTCAGTCCGTTCGTCCATCCACAGCACCTGCTCGGCTCACACAGGGCTGGTCCGTGGCCCTGGGCTCGGCTCTCCTGTCCTGCCCACGCCAACCAGTGGAATCAGGCTGTGGGGTGGGCAAGGGACCAGGGATCTTGTTGCTTCTGACTCCTGAGGACCAATCGATGTGGATTTTCCTGCAGTCAAAGGCCATCGAGTCACCAGACAGTGGCCAGAGGGGGAGGACCTGGGCCAACTGCGCGGACCACCTCCAGGGCCAAGCTGCCTTCTTGCTCCAACTCCAAAGCCAATCTTCCCTTGTCCCCCAGGAGAAATCTGGGGTGTGGGGGTCTCAAGTCGCCCCATGAGGATGCCCCATGCACTAGCTGAACCCTGTTGGGCAGGGGACCTGGTTGGACCCCTGCAGGTCCCTAAGTGGACGTATTTAATGATGATAGAAGGGTCTCGCTGTTCTTGAAGGCAGTCCTTAGTCTTGAAACCCCATTCAAGTCTCCCCCTTCCCCACAAACAGGTCCTCTGCCCTCCTATTTAGATTCACCATCCTCCTACCCCATCCTTCTCCTGTCCAGGATCCCCCATGGTAGAATCTGAGCTGACACCTCCTGGGAGAAAGGTTCTTCATGGTCTTGTCTTCCATTAAGCCAAACCACTCCTTTCTGTCCAGAAACAGGAATGCTTCCTAAGGGTGGTTGTCTGGGTGGTGGGGTGGCATTTGCCAGGCTATTCTTGGGGGATTCAGAACATGCTGTGAGGCTACTGGTGGCCTGGCCCCTCGCAGTGGGAATAAGTCCTTCCTCTGGCTACAGAGCCACACTGCTCCCCACACCTCCTAAAGAGCCGGGTTACTTTTCCAGCCCTCAGGCACGAGAGTCAAATTCATGCCCCTCTCTGCCCCTTTTATGACTGGCCCGAGTCCTGATGTGACCGTCCCCACTGCCACAGGTGGCATCCACATGTGCCAGCCAGGCAGACCTTTCTGCTCACGGTCAGCCCCAGAGGCCAGAGACCTCAGAGAGGGTGGTTCTCTCCCTGGCCCCAGAGCCACACTCTGAGTCACATCTGGCCGGGCCTCTGGATAAGTCTACCCTCCCTGCCCCTGCAAACACGCCACGTTTTCCTTGTCTCTCCCACCAGTGATGACGACATTGTATTTGAGGACTTTGCCCGTCAGAGACTGAAAGGCATGAAGGATGACAAGGAGGAAGAGGAGGACGGTACCGGCTCTCCACAGCTCAACAACAGATAGACGGGCCGGCCCTGCCTCCACGCGGCTCCAGCTCCACTCTCATGCACTCGGATGCTTATTCGTCTTCTTCCCATTCTGGTTTCTCCTCCCCTTTGTTCTTCCAGTTTCTACCAGGGGACCCCCGTGGCCTTCCGGATCACGGTGATGAACCTCTGGGCTCAGGATTGACCCCAAGTCACCATGCCAACAGGACCACAGCGCTCCGGCTCTACCCCGTCTCTGCCGTCACCTCCCCACTCCCCTTCTTTTCATGCTGTCTCCCAGAAAAGCTTCCAGGGCTCTGGCCTTGGAACTGGACTTGAGATGGGGAGCAGACAGGGGAGGACGGGGCATGCGTGTGGTGGGCATGAGGGCTTGGAGGGGTGGGGATGAGGGCTCAAGACACAAGGGAAGATGTCCACGGTCCCAGGCGGTTAACACGGTTCTGGCAGCTAAAAGATGACACATTGAAGGCCACCTCCTTCTGGCTGGGAGGGGCAGAACTGTGGACAGATTCTCAATGCCTTTTTGAAGTTCTGACCCACCAAAGACCTTCCACCTTCACCCTCCTTCCCACCCGATGTCCCCCTGTGTCTGATAGTGACATTGGTGAAAGTTCGTAGACCCCAGGAGTACAGAAAAGCAACTGGACTGACTCCTACCAGCAGCTACCTAGACCGAGGCAAGCTGCGTGGACTCGCCCAAGTCTATTTCAGTACTTTCAGGATGTGACATCTTAGCTACTTTGTATTTAATGTGCATGGACCTGTCTAGAGACATGCACAGAGAGAAAGGCAGAGGGAGGGAGGGAGGGGGTCTTCAGCAAGCACCAGCCCCCGGCAGAGTGAGCTGAAGCTCCCGAGGAGAGTTCCCAAAGTTGGGGGCACTCGGAGATGGGGACGGGGGGAGGGGAGAGGGGAATCTGTCTTATGTCCCTTCCTTATGGACTTCACATGGTCATGCAGGAAGCAAGGCTGGGGGTCCAGCAGGGGCCGAGGCCACTAGTGTCTCCCGCATCCCCCTGCCATTCCCAGGGCTGGACTGACCCTGCGGACTGGGAGGGAGAGGCTGAGGCCACGATGCCACAGTCAAAGGGGTCCTACCCCAGAAGCTGGCAGCATCCATTGAGATATCCTCACCCAAAGGGAAGGAGGCTGCTGGGGCAAAGAAGCCCCTTCTTTTCTTGGGGAGTTGATGACCTCCAGTAGTTCCCAGTGTCATGGGTACCCAGTACACACACACTGGTGTTGGTGTGATTAAGACCTGGGGCATTTCCTGGGGCAAGAGGCCAGATGGGAGACGAGGTAGAAAGTGTTAGGAGTTATCCTCCTTGCCTGGCCTTTGAGAATAACTTGCTGTGTGACCTTGGACAAGTTCCTTCCCCTCTCTGGCCCTCAGTTTCTCACTTGGTAAAGCAAAGAGCTTGACCAGATGATCACAATGGGCCCTCCTAGCTCTAGCCACCAAGAATCTGTGAACATTAGAGCTCCTGGTCTGGTGAGTGGAGCGAAAGCTGCAGACTGGCCTCTCTGCCTCCAGAGGGGACTTACTGGACCTCAGAGGTGACAGGGCCCTATGGAGCACCATCTGCCCTGAACCCCACCCCCTGCCCAGGACTGGAAAGGGATTGATGTCAGGCTGTGGCCATAGCTAGTATGAGGTGCTCAAGGAGGGACAGAGCATGTATTTGCTGAGGCTTAGCTGAGGGGCTTGTGATAGGGCCTCCAGTACATCACAGCTCCCTGTGGACGCAGACACCCTGAGGCTTACCCAAGCAAATATATTGATTAGCAGGACAAGAGCTCTTTCCTCAATTTCTGCTCCCTTCCATCTCTGTCCCATACTTGTCTGAAACGAGAGAGAGAAAAATCTTGTACCAGTGGGATCTCAATCCTTTACTGTCCAGCACCTCCTGGGGCAGGCAGTGTGATTATTTCCCATGGTGAAATCATCCGTTTCACAATCCTGGCAGTGCACCTTCTGAGTCTCATGACCACTCAACCCAAGGGACCGCTCTTCCCCAGACCAGAACCAAGTCAGCTGGGGGCAGTGGTACTCCCCAGGCCAGTCCTGAGGGCCAGCAGCAGGTGTCTCAGCCTCTCTCAGAGCTTGCTGGGCAGGCTGCATTTCATCTGGGCAGGCATGTAGCTGATGAAATGCTGGAGCAATGCATGGCAAGCATATGCCCTCCAGTGTCTTCCTCTGAAACCTTTGGGGCTGACACAAGACCCTTTAGTTTCTGGGATGACCGCTCTCCTGTAGACCTCTTCCCCTGTTCCTAATGCATGCATGAAAAAGTTTTGTCAGGCTGGTTTCCTGAGCCTCCACCTCAACATGACACTCACTCTTTTGGGTTTAGCTTAGTGTTATGTAGCAAATTTCTCCAGCTGCAGGGAAGCATCAGAGCACTTTTTTTTTTCTCCTTAAGCCAGGACTGCACAAGGCAATGGTCAAATTTGGTTGAATCCAGCCTAACCATCCTTTGCTCAGCTCTATGACTCAGCTCTATGCCAAGTGCGGGAGACAGAGACGGGTCAGTCTCAGCCCCTATCCTCAGGAAGCCCGTGGTCAGGGGAACATTGTAGGGGGAAGTAATAGAGGGCAGGTCCCTTTAGGGCTCTTGATGGCTGCTGGTCCCTACGGTGCCTTGATGTGAATTAGAAGACGTGTCCTTTCCGGGTGGATTCAGACCCACACTAGACTGTGCAGCTTTGTGAGTGACACACAGGCTAGGTTTGGCACCCCTTGCCCCATGGCCAGGTGCCCTGCTGCATGGCCATGTGCTGTAGCCTCGAGGGACACACAGGCCAAAAAGGCTGTGTTTCCTTCAGCCTCTTCCTGGAGAGGAAGGCCCAGGTCATCTTTCCAAGCTTCTGGTCGGCTCCAAACACCGTCTCCCAGCCTCCAAACACAGCCGAGCGAGTGCTGTTCTGCAGAGCCCCTTTCCATTCTGAAGTCAGCCTGCCCAGGTGAGACCTTGAAGTGAAACTTGGGGTAGGGGAGCCTCACTGGCCCCCAGGCACCAGCCTACAGTATTGGTGGTTTCTGTACCAAGCATTTGGGGCCTGTGCTGGCAAAGTCATCCCTCATTGGGACTTTGCGGCGCTTCCTGTGGGTGGCACATGGACACTGGTCTGGGCAGGAAGGAAGAGCATGCCCCAGGGAAAACCCACCAAGCAGAGGGCCAGCTGGACCTCCTCGGCATCCCACCCAGGGGAAGAGTTGAGTCCCCATGAAGATGAGGACTGAGTTATTTGGCTGCACCCTCCTCAGCCTCAGAGCTCCGACCCGCTAGAGTGGGTTCACCTGGCTGTTGGTTCTGTGGGAGAGTTCCTGACAAGCTGGTTCCCACGTGGTGCAGTCAAAGGAATTCTGTCCTGCAAGTCCCCAGTGCTGCCTCTGAATCCTGGCTGTTACCAAGCACCTGGGGGGCTTGGGCAAGCTACTTGACCTCTTGGGCTCAGTTTCCCTAACTGTAAAATGGGACTGTAATCCCTTCCCTGCCTGACACAGGAATTGTTATGAGGCCCAGATGAAATGAAAGTCAGCGGTCAGGGCTCTGTACATTGAAAATGGCTGCACGGGTGTGGCCCTGTCACTGCAGGGATGACCCAAGACCACACAGGAAGTTTGCTGCAGGAGGAGCCCTCCTCACCAGTCGTCCTCTCTTGCCCTGCTTCTCGCTTAGGCAGATGTCAACCAGAATGAGATACAGCCAGTTTGGCTTTGATGACCCAGCTGAGAGTAGACACAATTCAGGAATATCATGCCCAAAAATAGTGGTCCCAGCAACCGAGACACAGAGGGAAGACATGGATGTTGTCAGCAACTGCTGGATGGGGACATCTTGGACCCTCCTCAACCTGGTGTCACTCACATCTTCCATCTCTCAGACCCCACAAAGGCCAAGAGGCCTTGGCTCTGACCCCAGGTTAAAGAGCGCCTCCAGTTCCCAGGCTCAGGGAGCTGAAACCACCACTGTTCCACTGCAGAAATCTAAGGGCAAGGAGAAATAGAAATTGCCTGTTCCTTCCCTTGAAAGTGTAAGGCCTCTTCCAGGACCAACTGGAGCCACCACAGCTTCTTGGCGACATTGGGAGGGCTTCGGGCCCAGGGAGAATCCAAGCCTTTTGCCCTGAGAGCTGAGCCGCAGGGGATCCATCCCCCAGTGGTGTCAGCAGCCCAGAGCAGCAGCTTCTCTTCTGCCTGTCACTGGGGATGGATGCTCTCCACCCATCCAGGAGGAAGGGGTGAGGCCCCGGTCTTACACTCTTATAGGGTCTCATGGACATAGGCCTATACCTGTTCTGATACAGATATTTTATTATTTTTTTTCCATCAGGTTATCTAAACATATTTTTTAAACTCAATAAGGACCAAAACAGACTCCTGAACCCTCATGTATATGGCCTGCAATGGGCCTGGTGTTGTGTCCTCCTGGCCCAGGCAGCGCCATCACTTCTGCCCTCCCTCCTGGTCTAAAGTGGCAGGATCCCCATCTCTGCCTCTTCCATACAGGGTCACTGCACAGCAGCTTCAAAGAGAGGCCCTGTTGAAGGGGAAACATCCTCCCCACTTCATGCTCCCAACTCCTCACCCCAAAAGGGAAGTTAAAGCACAGGTCCATGGGACCCATGGTTTGTAGACACTGACACAGTGGTTTTCAAACCAGGTGCTGTGGAACCCCTGGTATTCCACAGAGCTTTGTCAGGGGCTGCTAAGGTGGGAAGATGGGAGTGGAGGCAAAGGATAGGCTTCCAGCCCTCCTCCCATTTCCACCTCCACCAGAACAACTCTGCTCTTATGTCTTGCCTACCGAGATTTCATTTTCAAGCTTTCTTTGAAGAAAAACTTCAAACCACCATCTTGAAGTTTGATCTTAGACCAGCAAGCACAGGTTCTATTCTTGCTGTTCACGTTGGAATGGCTCCAGCACTCCAGCATTCCAGTACAAAGTGTCTTTGTGTTGGAACTTGGGTCACAGACCCAGGCCCAAGCATTTACACACACACACACACACACACACACACACACACACACACACACAGTTGATGGTTTTTCTAGCCAGCCCACCCTGAAGCTCTGACCAAGGTTTGATTTGGACAGGGGACTGGTGCTCAGTGGGGATGGGTCTTGACCCCGATATTGGCCCATGAAGTATAGGGAGCTCTGGAGCAAGGAAACTGCCTCAATCCCCTGCCGAGGACTTGTGTCTGCATCCCTGTGTGGCACCCCACTTTCCTGGCCCAAGCCCAATGGACAGCAGGAGAAGCAGGGTGATGGAGAGAGAGGCTAGGGTTAAATTCATTTTTATGTAAAGCCAGATGGATGGAAATCTTGGCTCACATAAAAGACAGACTCAGGGAGGATTTTATGACAAAAGTCCCTCCTTTGATGGCAGGATTCCCCCAGGAATCCTGGACATTTTGGTGAGACCTGGACCAGCCCTTGGCACAAAATCCTGCCTGCCCTGCCCCCACCCGCCACCCCCAGGGAATTCTAGGGGAAAATGTGGAGCTCAGGGCACAGCAAGCACATGACATGGGTGTACTACATTGGTCCAAGTGTGTCCTTAGTTTCCCTGTGTAAAATGGGGCTAGTGCCAGGCTCTTCCCACCTCACTGGGACAACTGCAAGGGTCATAGGAGAGGTGGATATGGTGGTCATCTGAGGTGGTGAGTATGAGAGGTGGGTGCCTCACAAACTTGGGGTGTGGTCCTGACCTGCACGGTAGATAGGCAGAGCACTTGGGAACTAGCATAGGAAGTGCCATCTTCCTGGGCATCTCTGCTCAGTGTGAAGGTCCAGCCACAGGTGCTGTGGGACCTGCCTCTTCCTATGGAATGGGAGCCTGCATGGGTTGTGTCCTGGGGCGGGAGTGAGAGATGGCTGGGGAGAGTCTCCAGGTCTGCGGCCCTTGTGTTGAGTGATTATTTTGTGCCATGCTCATTCCTGGACCACCTGCCAGGTTTATCTGTTATACCTGTGGCATTCTTATTATGTCAGACGAGTTATTATAGTTTATTCAACTCTAACAAACGAACAAAAGAATAAATAGGAGGCCATTAAAGGTCTTTTGTGACAGAGGATGCTGGCTGTGCTTTCATTTCTGTCCCATAAGCCCATGGCAGGACAAAGACGAAATGCCGGCCTGCTGCCCTGGACTGGCAGATGGAACTCATGACTGGGTGTTCGTTTCCCTTGTCTGTGGCCCCAGCTCCAGCCTGGTCCTGGCACCCACTTCTGGAGACTGCCAAGGACTTTTCTCCTGTCCCTCTCCCACCACTTCTCAGCCCTATGGCCTTGGGAAGCTGCCGAACCAGTTACCGCTGGACTTTATGCCCATGGTTTGCTCCTGGGGTGAACCCATCCCATCTTCGATTTTTGGCATCACTGACCACATCAGCTGGAGTCCTTGCCCCAGCCCCACCCCTGGTTCTTGTTCAGTGCTCATCTCCTGCTCTGCTGGGTCTTCCTAAAGTCACCTCAGTTTTCTAAGACTTATCTGCCACCTGGTCTAACGGAACATATGGGAGGAGTAAGGATATCTGTGAGAAACAGTTGATGTTCTAAACGCTAATGTGCTGTATTAACACCAAAGGAAGACACCCATGTGTATAAGATGTCTATCCTAGAAAATTAACTATATATGAACTATATATATATATATATTTTGAGACAGAATCTCGATCTGTCACCTAGGTTGGAGTGCAGTGGCACAATCTTGGCTCACTGCAACCTCTGCCTCCCAGGTTCAAGAGATTCTCATATCTCAGCCTCCCCAGTAGCTGGGATTACAAGTGTGTGCCAACATGTCCATCTAATTTTTGTATTTTTTTTTGTAGAGATGGGGTTTTTCCATGCTGGCCAGGATGGTCTTGAACTTCTGGTGAACAGTATTTTTTTAAACATTCCTGTAAGATACTGTGCAATGTAGATCAGAGCATTGGCCTCCTAGGTGGCCGGAAGGGAGTCTGTTTCCTCTGATGTTCCCTTCCTGCCACAGTAGGGCAGTGGGAAGACTGACATTTGAATCACGAGACTTTTGTTCGGCTGCCCTGTACAGCTTTTGTTCGGCTGTTCTCCCATAAGGACTATGTCAGTCTGAATCCAGATAAGCAGTCTATGCCTGTAGTAAGAATTTAACTGGGCCAGATGCAGTGGCTCATGCCTGTAATTCCAGCATTTTGGGATGCGAAAGCAGGAGAATCTCTTGAGGCCAGGAGTTCAAAACCAGTTAGGACAACATAAGCAGACCCCCATCTCTCCAAACAAACAAACAAAATAGCCGAGAGTAGTAGTGCATGCCTGAAGTCCCAATGACGTGGGAGGCTTAGGAGGCTGAGGCAGGAGGATCGTTCAAGGCTGCAGTGAACTATGATCACATCACTGCACTCCAGCCTGGGTGGCAGAGCCAGAAATTGTCTAAAAAAAAAAAAAAAAAAAAAAAGCCAAGCACAGTGGCTTTTGCTTCGGGAGGCTTACTTGAGCCCAGGAGTTCAAGACCAGCCTGGACAATATAGCAAGACTTTATCTCAAATGTTTTAAAATTTTTTTAAAAAGAACGCAATTTAGCCGGGCGCGGTGGCTCAAGCCTGTAATCCCAGCACTTTGGGAGGCCGAGGCGGGTGGATCACGAGGTCAAGAGATCGAGACCATCCTGGTCAACATGGTGAAACCCCGTCTCTACTAAAAATACAAAAAAATTAGCTGGGCATGGTGGCACGTGCCTGTAGTCCCGGCTACTCAGGAGGCTGAGGCAGGAGAATTGCCTGAACCCAGGAGGCGGAGGTTGCGGTGAGCCGAGATCGCGCCATTGCACTCCAGCCTGGGTAACATGAGTGAAACTCCGTCTCAAAAAAAAAAATTAATTAATTAATTAATTAATTAAAAAGAACACAATTTAATTGGGGAAATGTTTATTAAAATGTTGAATGAGATGAAAGTGCAGATGGGGTTTGAGACCACCCAAAGATGTGGCACAATAGGAGACCATCACTACCCCTAGGGTGGAGGACAAGGAGAGGGGCTGAGGAACTAGGGCAGTCCAGCAGGAACACTGAGGAAGAGGGTATCTATGAAAGCCAGAACCACAGAGGAAACACCACAGTGCTGGAATGCTGCCCAAGGCAGAGACACTGGAGACATGCCTGGCTTATTCTCTCCTCCTGCCCTCCATTGGCAGAATCTAATTAAAAGCTCATTTTTAAGACATTTGAAAATGTAGTTTGCAATGGTCAGGGCCTGACAATACAGAGCAAGAGAAGGTCAGGGGATTTGATCTGAGATCAAACAGGCAAATCTCAAGCTCTCCCTTAGTGTTCTTATCCAAAAAGTAAAAGTACTTATGTTGGCTTGGTTACCACAATTTCGAAGGAATGCCTTGACATCTGAACAGGATTCCAAACAAGGGAGAGATATTTGCTGTTTTCTCGTATCTTTCAACCTTAATGCCACTATGACTGTCTTCATTTTGCTTTGGAGTTTCATTTCTCTTAGTTTTTTAAACTTCAGTAAATCAAAAGAAATTGAGCAGGAGGTTCAAATTCTGGCTGACATAGAGTAAATCCATTAGAGCTTATCTCTCCTACTGATTACACCTAAAAACCCTGGACAAATATACAAAACACAATTAAATAATGACTCTGAAAGTTAGTCAAATGAAGGCAAATGATACAGGTGAGTTAAAATTTAGAGAAGTAATTTCCATAGGACGATTCTCCCATTTTTTCTCTTTTCTGTGGCTTTTCACTAAGATTAGAACCACCACCCACAGAAAGTGAGACAGAGCTTAGAATCTGAACCTAAGTTAGTTAATTGTTTCCTGAAACAATAATAACAATGCAATCAACATTCTGTAGAGGATTATAGCAGGACCCAGAGTCTATACAATGTGACATTCACAATGCCCAGGATACAATCTGAAATTACGCAACATTCAAAGATGGTAATCCCCACTTATCTAAGGGAGATAAGCTCCAAGATCCCCACTGGACACCTGAAACTGCAGATAGTATCAAATCTTCTATATACTATATTTTGTCCTATATATACATACGTATTATAAAGCTTAATTTATACATTAGGTACAGTAAGAGATTAACAATAACTAATAATAAAATAGAACAATTATAACAAATGCCAGCATCACTACTTAGCACTTTGGGGCCAATGTTAAGTAGAATAAGAGTTACTTGAACACAAACACCGTGATATTGCAACAGTTGATCTGACAACCAAGAGGGCTTCTAAGTGGCTAATGGGTAGATAGCATACACAGCCAAGATACACCAGACAAAACAATGATTTCTGTCCC